ATTTGGTAATGTTTTCATTTTGAGACAACATTTTAAAAATAAAATCCTAAACCATTCTTAGTAAAATTAAATGACATGTCCTCAAATGGCCTTTTCCTCCTTTTTTAAAAAATGCATTCCAGAGCTTGTCTATACACATATTAAAGTGAAAGAAGATGTAAAAAGACACTGAAAGAATCCTCTTCTGACTCTGCTCTCTCACACCCCACAAATCTCAAGAACTGAACCACAAATCTAATTACTAAGTATATTCTATAACTCTCCCACTTACTTGCATTATTAGTTGGAGAATTATTATATTGTAACATTGTTACTTTTGTTCTAAATGGCGTATAATATTTATTTATTGTGTTTACTTCTGATATCTAATATATTTACAGCTCTTTCTATTTACACCTTTTTACCCTTTACTTTCCCTCTCCCTTTTTCCCCACTTAGTGATTTCACACTTATCTGTGCCAGGCAGTACAGCCAGGCACCAGGGTTATGCACTAAAGGAAGAGACTCTGTACCCTCAAGGGGCTGTCTTGCCAGACAGAGATACATGGGAGAAAATGCAAAGGAGGGCCACAGATGCAGGTTAAAGCATTTTACAACTCTTACTGTAACGTGGTAAACACTGTGAAAGACTAGGTCAGCCTAGGGGAGGGCAGTTTCCACAGTAGTAGGGACATTATAACTTGGTTTCCACACATGGGAGATTGGGAGGCAGCAAGGGCCAGAACTACTTTTTCATGAGCAATGGATTAACTAGGCAGTGAAACTTGAAGTCAATGAGTGTTATTAGGAGTGAGCCAAGGAGGAGGAGTGTCTCTGACACTTGATCCTCAGAATAACATTTCCAGATGGATATATTTGTGTAACTAAACAATGAAGTTTTTATTGAACAAGTTTTGGGAAATAGATCAAGTTAATATTTAAGGTTTCTATGTACTTCTTGGAGCCTGAAATATGCCAATATGCATTGCGCATATTATAGAAATTGAAAAATGAAGGAAAATATATAAAGAAAATAAAATTTATCAATAATACTGCATTTAAATAAAACTACTCTCAGTGTTTTAGTATAGTTTCTTCTAGAATTCTTTTCCTCTAGATATTTTCCCATGTATATCTCCTTATCTTTCCAGAGTCAGTGCCCAGCTACTTTACTGTACTAATTTATATATTAGGTACAAATTTTTCTACTAAGTTTCTATTATGTGAGAGATGTATGCTAAATGCTGATAATATAAAGATGAAGGATATATATTCTCTCCTTCATGAAGCTCCCTGCTAACATTCACTGGTATATTTTCTTTAAAATCTTTCTACTATATAGATATTTGAGATTTAGAATATGATGTTATGGGATACATATAGATAGTGAAGTGGTTATTACAGTGAAGCAAATTAACATGTCTGTTATCTTACAAACTGTGTGTGTTTGTGTACATTGTATATGTAGAAGAGGATGAGAGAAACAGCTAAAACCTGCTTATATAACATGTAAGAATTATATACCACTGTTCATACTGCAGGAAAACATGTTTTGCTTAATATTAGTAGTTATAGCTATTCGTACTATTTACTAACATGCTCTTTTCATTTAATATAAGCATCTTTATCAATAAATAGAAGTCTATTACATCATCATTTAAAAAGGCTCTGTCATATTCTATTATACAACTGTTCCATGAATTGTTTAAGAAATCCATTAGGCTGTTTTCAGGGTGTTTTATTATTATTAAAGCAGTGTTATGATGAGCACTCTCACAGAGGTTTGTAGTCTTCATAGTGACATGGACAAAATTGCATTTATGATGATAAAGTTTATGAGAGGGTAGCAGGAGACCTAGAAGAATGAGACTGGTGACAGATACTACTTAAGGGATTGTCACAAGAAAGAAAAATAATTTCCACTGAGAAATCTGCTCATGTACATGAAAAATAGGCAGGTATGACAATATACATTTTTTAAAATAAAGAAATAGTTTGATTCTGTTTGGAAGTGGTGGACAAGAGGATATGTTGAAACAAAGAAAACTGTGCTTTTTAATCAGCAAATGTGATGTGTTGACAATTAACTATTAACCAAGTTAAGAAATAAATGGTGATTTATTTTGAAGATTTGACTTAAGGAATATAAAAAATAGATTGCAATCATAGGCTGGAAGAGGCTTGAGGTGAAACTTAAAATACTTAAAATATGTATTATCAACACAAAACTCAGATAAAAATCCATGAGACCATGAACATTTGTAAGATCTCCCAATGGGAAACTTAGGATAATAATAGAGAGTTTAGTGTAGAATTTTAGCAAGTAGAAAATTTATTGTGTATAGGGGGGAAAAAAGCCTATTAAAACCTTTGGTAAATTTTAAGTTCTTTTGAGCAAGAGAGTTGTTCAAAAGAGAGTTGTGGAGAAAGGTTTAAGTTTGATTTGAAGATTTAAAGTCATATAGAAGAAATATTAAAGCATATTTTAGTTAGGTTTGCTATTCAGAAAAACCTGTGCTAATTTGTTAATTTGTACAAAATTCTGCATATTAGTTATGAAGATTTAAACTGAGGCATAAATTTCTGTGACTTTAATTAGGGAAAAAATTATCTAAATAAATGAATAACAAAAAAATTGCAAAGGGAATTTTTGAACTATTTATATGAAAATCTTTTAAAATTTAAAACTAGTTGAGAATAGATTTTTGTTATTTTTATTATGTTTAAATATTCATCTTATTAAGTCAGGAAATAATTATTTCCAAATGCCATCATTTCTTTCATGACCATTTTAATAATTTGTTCCAATAATCAGAACATCAGTAAACTTGAGGCTCATGCCCAGAGTGCAAATTCATAGTTCCAAAACTGGATAAATCAATACTGAGAGTAGTTATTCTTGGCCAATGGTCATGTGACTTGCTTTTGGAACTGATGTAGATTAAAAATTTCAAGAGTTAAAACTGTTAAAAAATCTTTTAATTTATAATATCCTTTTCTTTTAATTTCTAGAAATTTATCAACATTTGGGTATTTATGTAGGTTTGTATATAAAATAGATAGTTTTCCGAATATGTGTCAAATATTCCCTCACATTTCTGTATTGATCCTCTTTTGTTGCCCCTAAGAAAATCACCAAGAAATGGACAAGGATTTTTTCCAATGCTAACTTTTAAGTTGTTAATTCCAGACACCATCATTTCTTGGAGCCTACTGCAGGAGTCATCTCTACTTGGTTATCTGCTCTGAATTGAACTGGATTTATGTTCTGTTTAAATCAAACTATTAATGATCTCTTATTCTCAATATTTTCATTTATTAAGTTATAAAGTATTTTGCCTTTAAGACTATTAAGGGAATTAGACAAACATGTAAAATATCTATCTGTGCCTAGAATATAATAAGGGCATAATAAATGCCAATCCTGTGTAACAATCATGAAGGATGAATAAATACTGTGGTTCCATCCCAAACATATTACTACAAAATGCTGCTTAGATTTGCAAATTGCTTTGGGTTCACTTTAAAAAGAACGAATTATTTAACTAAATTACTAATTATTTATATCTATAAAATTAGAAGTTTTAAGAAATAATTTAAGTTTTTAAAATGTAACCATTTATAAACATTTTTTAATGTCAGTTTGTACAATGTATATATCTCCTTTAAGGAGATAGTAGTTACTGTTTCCAACTTTCTAAATTCTAAGGTGCTATGCATCCTTTAACTAGTTTTTCTTAACTTGAAATAAATGAAAGATTTAAATGAAAATATTTCAATAGTAAGATAACTTTGGTATCCCTTTAGACTTGTATGTAGTTTTTGGTATAAGTTAGAAAATAACTGTAAGCCTATTTTTTTGTTTGTTTTGTTTTGTGTCTATCTGTAATCTGCAGCAAAGTAATACTAGATAGGAGAATGAAATGCTTTTCTTTTAATGCATATGCTATATAACTTCTAAAAAGAAGCATATAACATAAATTAGAAGGACAAAATTATTCACGTTTCAGGTTATTCTTATTTCTAGCATTCTATTTTGCTCATGATTTTTGATAGATAATGTATATAAACCTGCATGAATGTATTTACAGATATATAAAAAATTTAAAAATCTTCTAATGAAATAAGTGATAATAGAAAAATCATTATGTAGTACTTCCCTCATATTATTTCATATTTTTCACTAAGTCTTAACATGCATATACTACAACACAGCAATTTCCAATAAAATAAATTTAATTTTCCCTAAATATGTTCAGCAATGTTAGAAATTAACTTTTAAAAAATTCTGATTTTTTTTATTCTTTCAGATATATTTTGAAAACTTATTTAAAATTAGTTTCATAGAAATACTGGCAATAAAATGGCAAATTATTCATATTCAAATGATTTTGTAATATTTTAAAGTAACATCATATGGAATTCAAATGTTAAAAAATGAAAATTCTAAAGTGGTACATATGATGGATTATTAAAGAGTAAGAATATGATCTATTCAGTTCCATTCCTTTTCCACAGCCAAAAAAAACCAATAAAACAAAAAAACATATTGTTAATCTTAGCAACAGTTTTTAAACCAGAGTCAAAACTTCTGTTTTTATATCCCAGATTCCTCTTTTTCATTTTTCTAGGATTTGCACTTATGTTGATTCCCAAATCTAGGCAGGTGAATCCTACCCTGAGTAAGCAGGATCACTCTTCTATGAAAAATAGATATAAAATACCCAGCTAATGACTCTTAGTGAAAGTCATTGAGTGGATTTATTTTCTTATACTGACCATTTTCCAACTTACTACCTTATTTATTGTGGTAATGTTTTAAGCCTTCTTTTGGGGAATGTTAAACAAATAATTTAGAATCATTTTAAGTGATTATTATTCCAACGCTCTCTCTATTGTTTGTGACCCGAATTGTCACATTTCTTCAACAAGCAAAAATTGTTTCCTTATTATTTTCTGTGCCTGGATATGTTTTACAAGTTTATACTAACCTTGAAAAATTTTCTTTTTCCCATTTCAAGTTCCACCCAATCTGACTGTTCCACAGGAAAAATCACCTTTGGTCACCAGAGAAGGAGACACAATAGAACTGCAATGTCAAGTCACTGGAAAACCTAAACCCATCATCCTTTGGTCTAGAGCAGATAAAGAAGTTGCAATGCCTGATGGGTCAATGCAAATGGAGAGTTATGATGGAACACTGAGGATTGTGAATGTGTCTAGGGAAATGTCAGGAATGTACAGATGTCAGACCAGCCAGTACAATGGATTCAATGTGAAGCCAAGAGAAGCTTTGGTGCAGCTCATTGTTCAGTGTAAGTAATTTCCCTTCCTATGTGTTTTAGTTTGGGGATAAGGGAAGAAATGATACTGTCAGTCTATGGGTAAATGGAAGTGAGCTTTGAAATTGGATTGGGAGGAAATATTTCTACCTCATTGCTACCAATTTTGTAGTGTTCCCTTAATATGCTTACTACTTAGCTATTAGAAAAGAGTTGTATTTTTTGTGTATGTGATGAATGCAATGCTATTATGTGGTCAGTTGTTGCCAAAGGATCACAAAACTATTGGTGCTGGGTATACTGGTACATACCTGTAATCCCCATGTGGGCTTTATATTTCCTCTTAAGAGGATCACAAGTTCAAACCCAGCCTCAGCAACTTACTGAGGCCCTAAGCAATTCAGCAAAACCCTGTCTCTAAATAAATATATCAAAAAAGGATTGGAGATGTGACTCAGCTGTTAAACACCCCTGGGTTCAATCCCTGGTACCAAACAAAAACAAATATTAAAAAAAAAAAACAACCACCAGATGCAATGAGGCAATGTGAAAACTGAAAATAATGGCTAATTTGGGTTATGACGCTCTTGTTTTCACAGTTTATGTTTCTACTTCAGGCAATTGAATGTTCTTTGCCCAAATTATCCTCTTATTTTAAGGAGTCCCTTACCTTAAATTGTGGAGACCTAATCATTGAAATGCTTTGTTTGCATATCAGAAGTTGTAACAGTAGATTACATAATTACCTGGGAATATAGAGATAATTCAGGCAGCTCTTAGGTGCTGAATCTCTGCTTGATTTATCCTAGCAAGTATTTAATTGTAAAGTTGAATAAGATAATTTTTAAACTGTTTTGACTGAAATCTCAATTACAGTTCTGGCAAAAATATGGTAGACGTGTGGGCTTTATATTTCCTCTTAAGAGAAACTAAATCCATAAATTTAAGAGCTAACAAAAATATAGTGATGTTACCTTTATTACTGGTGTTGACAAAATGTCAAATTCAGCACAAGATATTAAAATTCAGTCCTACAATAGTGGATGATAGGAGTCACTGCACAGTTGCCTCTATTGTGTCAGGGATGAAACTGATAAAAGACACTAAGAGACACAGGCAAAGTTTAGTTCTTTTAATGTAGGTAAAGAGGTATGATTTTTCTGTATCCCAAATGGACTTCATAGAGCAGGGGTATAAACCAGCAGCATTCCTCTGAGAGGCAAGCCTCATTGCCTTGCCCACAAAGGTGACCTTTCTAGCTCCAGGTGAGGATGTCATCAAGTCCTTTAGGACACTCCCTTTTATGTCCTTCCAACTCTTCTGAAGAATCTGGACATTTGTCTAAGTATTTGCCAAGTACAAACAACTGGTAACCATCCTAGAATATTCCTGAGTGAATCAGAGGTTCATGGTCCAGGACTGTGATCCCTGCCAAAATGACCAGAATCCAAGCCTACCTAAGGACAACTGATTCCTGCCAAACTAATAATGCAGGAATCCTGTAATGCTTTATAAATGAAAAACATTTTTATAGTGATTTTTAAATATGAAAATGATATGCTTCAACTAATTTGGATATCTATAACATATGTAAGAAATATTGATATGAGATATAAAAGTTATTTTATACATACATTCACATACATGTGCATGTATACTTACATGTGTGTTTATATCATCCTCAGAAATTAGTTTCATCACTATAGCTCACAAGCTATGTTTTACATATTTTGTATTCCCAGGATAATATATTTTACATTATAGCTCTTCAGTAAGCTTGTTGAGCAGAGGTATGTTTAGATAAAAAACAAAATAAGATTATCATATATGTGTGTGTGTGTGTGTATACAAATATATACATATAAAATACATATGTAAATAAATAAAATTTTGCTTCTTGCATATCTTTTTAAATATGTTTTCTGTGTATCTGAGAACTTCTCACATGCAGTTTGATGTGTAAGAGCCCAAGTGTATTGAGGAAGAATATGTCAAATTATTTTTACTCTTGCTGGGTGCAGTAGTGCCCGCCTGTAACTCCAGCAACTTGGGAGGTTGAGACAGGAAGATCACAATTTCAAAGTCAACTTTAGCAACAAGGTCAGAGGCAACTTTGTGAGACCCTGTCTCAAAATAAAAATAAAAATAAATAAATAAAAAGAACTGGAAATGTGGCTTAGTGCTAAAGTATTCCAGGTTCAATCCCTAGTACCAAAAAAAAAAAAAAGGAAAGAAAGAAAGAAAAAATATTAAATTATTGTAATTCTTAAGGAAACTTTTTAAGGACTTGAACTCTGCACTATAGTTCAGGATTTGCTGTCTTGAAAAGTTAATTACACTGGTAAATTCTAGAACTATTTTACACACAAATGCACATCTATAATTTTATAAAGAAAAAGAAAATTAAAGACAGATTGAAAACTAATGTAGCTGTTATATATTCCCTATTAGACAAATTATGGAGCAGCTTTCTGTACTACTGAGATGTATATAATCAACCTATTGAACTAACATAACTACTATTTGGATTTTTTAAAAAGGAAAATTGTTCTGGAAATATATGTGTTACTAGAGACTAAAATATAGCTAATAAATAGCAAAAACAAGAGGGCAATTTGCCATATGCACACAGGAAAATTTTGAAGCCTACCCAAAGGAATTCATAAGTACATAGAAAAAAATATTAATTTATAAACAGAGCAGTAAAATGGCTTTCTGCCCTGAATCCTGGAAAGCGCTACTTAACTAGCTGGGTTTCTTATTTTCCTTAATAAATCAGTCCATCTGTTCTCAGTCCATCTCTTCTCATTATAAACATGACAATTCAATGTTGTGTCTCAGGCTAGACTCCTATAGCTCTTTTCCTGTTTAGGACCATTCTTCAAGTCTTTTTTTTTTACTATTTAAGTCCTGTTAAGCATCACCTCTTTAGAATGCCTCTCAGTGACTATTGTTAAGGTCTTTCCTTGACAGTTCTGTAAACACTGCCTGCTGTTAGTCTGTGCAGGACAATTTACAACCTCAAAGAATTGCTGGTAGGTAGAGCACTTGCTTAGTGTGCACAGACCCTTGGTTGAATCCCCAGCACTGTGAAAGATCAACAACAGCGACAATAAAAACAACCTAGAATTTCAAAGAGAAACTTCATTTTGAACACGCACATCAGATGATATATTTCTTTCAAAATTATTGGTTTTTATTTCACTCTTGCCTTCTGTAGAGCTCTCCTGGAATATTTATTGTCTATATAGAGTTAGTTTGAGTTACACAAATAAATACTTCCAAACACTTCTTGTACAATGTTTACACTAAAGTTATCATTTTCTAATTGAATACACTTCTTTCACCAAAGTGACTTGATTCTAATGGCCTCTGGTTCCATTCCATAAAATGAATTACCCTGGTGGGATAATCAAAAACTATGCCAGAAACATTCATGTTAAGCTCAAAGTATTTTCAAAGTGTGCCAAGGGATGATGGCATCAAGACTGTACACTCAGTGACACTGTAAAGATAACTTTGAAGGGAGCATTCACTTAGGGGATTTTCTTTGACCAATAGAATCTTAGTTTTACCACTTATTATAACATATATGCTTAGTGTGCAAGTATCTTAATATCTGAACATGAAAAAATGTTTCTGTTTTTCAATTAGTATTTAAGACTAAAATACTTTTGTAAAATAATGGAGACATTGCTTATTATATAGTACATAATGGACATCACTTATTATCATCATGACTAGAATTTCAATACCTAATTTCCTGTATCATGTAACCAAAACATTCATATTCTGACTTGCAAATTATTTCTTATATACCATATGTCTTAATTCATTCAGGCTGCTATAACAAATATAGCCTAAACTGGGCAGCCTACAAACAACAGAGATTTATTACACTTATGAAGCTAGGAAGTCTAAGATCAAGAGCAAGCATACTCTGTTTCCTAGCTTGCTCTCTAGCTAATGACTCGCATGATGGAAAGGGCTTTCTACCTCTATGGGCTATCTTTTAGGACTATACTTATCCTTTTTATTAGAGTAGATTTTTTTTATTACCTACTTACCTCCCCAAAGTATCACTTTCTAATTGGTCATTAGGTTTAAATTTATGAATTTGAGGGGGCAGAAATATTCAGACTATAGTGCCCTATTTTATTGCCTTTATTAAAGATAGTTGAGCCATTTCTACTATAATTTAAGTTCCTTGCAGGTGAAAATAACAAGCAATACTTGACAAATAAGTAGATTCTTGATTTACTGATCCATTGTCAGGGTCTCTGTTCTAGGAGAAAGTTATAGCTGAAAGTATTTGGTAATAAATTCTTGATTTTTTCTCTTCTCACAGGGAAACTTTATATTATACTCTAAAAGAATGTAGGTTGAAGAGAGACTTTAGTTTACCAAGAATATACTTAATATTTTAAGCATTCATTTTTCACATTTTAATGTTAATTATTATTAAATAGAACCCAGTGTTTATTACACAGTATTCCTTTATTTGAATTAAATGGCCATATTATTAGTCCTTTTGTGGTTTTTCGTAGTTATTACAAACATTAATCAACTGAATCCTGAGGAAATGTTAATATTTCAAAAACTTTAATATTTTCCCATGGAGTACCCTCTCCCTCCTCCCTGTACTTAATATCTGTTTTCTTAAAAAGTAAAAAAATAATAATAATTATAAGATGGTGTTCAATTTAAATTCTGTGCAAAATTCTAGAATTATGATTTCAAGTCATCATATCATACCCATATATATTACTTCATTTCCCCAGGTAGTCTCATTATTCTGAATATTTGAAAATTGAACTTTTAAATATACATGCTGTTTTCTAGTAAGTTCCTAGGATGAATTCACTTTAGCTGAAATGCCCCTGCTATCCTGGGCATCCTCCTTGCTCTTTGTTTCTTCACTTTTCCAGAGAGTAGAGTACCATCAATAACCATCACAGGGCTGCATAAGCATCTAAGAAAATTATCTGAGAAAATAGAAAGGAACTCTCCCTCTGTAAGGCATTTCTCAGTGA